TTCAAAGGAGGACATCGCTGTTCTTTTGGAAAACATCTAAAATAAGATGAAGCGGGTGGTGCCTACCCCACAGCTATCATAACGCAGGTTTAGGTCTAAGAGTTTGACACCAACCTGAATAGGTATGTTAACAAGGGTGGAAAATGGGTATGAGAGCGGGAAAGCTGATCTCAAATAAGATGAACTGATCACCTATGAGCAGAACCGGCATTCCGCTTTTGTATTTGTTACAATAATAACATGTAGGTTTGTTGTAGACAGCAGCTGGTGAAGATAGTTTGGCCACTCCAACTATCACAATTTGAGAATAAGGATTGGAAGGGAAAGCAAATAGGTACAATTTTAACAATATCACTTTGTGTTCGTGGTGTTATGGTTACTCAATTCACTATTTGCGAATTTACCCGAAGGACAATATCAAACCATTACGAACACTGCATTGTTTGCCGCCGCCACTCGGCCGCCGCGCCGGTGGCGGCGGCGCGGGCGCACGATTGAGCTGTGACGTGACATCCTGTGCATATCGATACTTATACAAACTATTCGTACTTTGAATCAGGTAATGGACATACCTAGACAATGAACTACTCTAGTTGTACCTGTAACATATTTTATGAAGATTTTGATACATTTTTGACATCCGCACCAGTCTCGACAACACTAGCCAATTACCGGTTGATGAATTTGCATGTCCAGATAGTTTGATGAACTTGTCTTATATCCAAGAATTACACGATATTGTCTTTCACCAAAGCAAACAGTAATTAGTAGTAGCAGTATTAGTAGTACTATTGCAGATGATTCGAAAACATTCGTTGGTGCAAATAGAAATGAAATTGAGTCCTACTGCATTTAGGCAAGCGTTCGCCCAACTATCATTGCAATAAAAACGTAAAGGCACGCAGGTGCAGAAGCTTGCTGACAAGTGGGATCCAACTTTTAATATTAAATTTAAAAGTATCAAGACTATTTGTGTTTAGTAAGTCCAATTGTCCAGTAACGCAGTCAAGGCTGTCAGAAACCAACTGTAATATCTTTCAGAAAAAAAAAAACTATAGTGTAGACAATCGTGTCAAGGACCTAAAAAGCTATGATCGCATAATGTTTCTAAGTTAAGCGATTTATTATCACAATAATGATGGAAAATCTTGCTAACTTAATGGGGAATGTATAATTATGGACTATTAAACGGTTACTGTGGAAAATGATCGCTAGGTACTTGAGTTTTTATGTTCGTGCCTTTGCTGGTTTGCACTTGCAAGATGTGGGTGAGTAATTTGAAATACATTTTTAAATAACAAAGTATTCATACAAAATAGAGTTTGTTTCATGCAAACATTACTATACAATACGCAAATAGTATAATATAATAATCCCACAGAACAAATAAGTAAAATTTAATATATAGAAGCATTTTGTTAGGACAAAATCAGCAATTCGTTGTAAGCGAGATTGCATTTGTTTATATCGGACAAGAGTTGTTTTTAATTTATGTTAGACATTTATTTCAGGTCACATGACCCATATAATATGTACCTTAAGGGCTAACATACATACAATATAATATAACAATAAAATAAACTAAGTAACAAATCTACACGTATTGCACTTGTCGACGTCGTCAGGAACCGGCCGCGGAATCGCCGATACATGACACCCTTCGGCCAAAACTCTTCCTTCATGAAGGAAGAGTTCTTCCTGTATTTAGATATTTGGTCGGCACTCTCACCACAAACGAATTAAAATTTACGTTGTGGCGGGACTCCAACCGCTCGACCCTCAGGGTGTATTTGGCTTTTGGCCTGATGTACTCCACTACCTTTTCAGATTTCGTGGAATAATGCAGTCACGACAGGTGCAGCAGATTATGTCATGATAGACCAAAACTGAGAACATAAAAACAGAATAAACCCCGATTCATTGATTTAATTCGTCGCACATTGTTTTATAAACACCAGTTATATCCAGGTTCTTCCAGACATAAGAACTAATACAAATGCGAGAGTAGAACCTTAGTAGAATTAGACCAAGTAGGGTCATTTCACTAGCAGTAGATCTCTTGTGAAAGAGTTCGTCCAGGGAAATACTGCCACCTTACGTATTTCTGTCGCCAAGCAGTAATGTGAAATGTAATTTCAACTATTATACAAAAGCATGCCAAAGTAGTCCTTTACTTATATTATAATGTGAGGTAAGGGTGCTGGTGAAATAGGCACACGTGACTTTTCAACTTATGCCTCAGGGTGACCGGTGCTCAGTGTCTCTCAGATCTTTGAGATTCAAAGCTCTGAGTGGCACTGCAACTGATAACAGTTACAGTTACTGATAACAGTTAGTGATAACAGTGGACAAGCGTGGCGCTTACCATCAGGATGCTGTTTGTATGGAATTACCCTACTTGGTTTTATTCTACTATGGTATGACACCGGTGCGTGTGACAAATATGTACAGCTCCTGAGAAAACATTTTTTGAAAATAAATTGAGTAATTTTCATTCGAAATAATGTACATTTTTTTTTTAATTATATTTATTAGCCAACCGACTTAGTCGTTCGTTAGAACCATATTTTAAAGGAATCAAATCAGCAACGACATAGTATCGTAAGTTGATTTTAATTTTTTCCGATCTTATTTTTTTACGTCAAATCCGCCGTATAAATTTGCAATTTTTACACAATTGGTTGGTTTAACTGTCTTCTACATACCCACCCTAAAATTATCCTAAAATAGTTCAGTAGATTATTGTCAGCGTTGATTTTATTTTTTTAGTCAGGGTTTTATTTCATTTCGTCACCAACAGTGTCTTTAACTTGAACTTAATCCAGATTTAAACAATAAAAAAATTGCAGGTACAAATCAAGTGAAAAACCTTTCCTATTTTTAGGCGATTACGAATTTATTTTATATGTAAATATATGATATAAAACAAAATAAAATTTAAAGTGGGCACACCATTTAGTCGTAACTATAAATAAATTTCTTCCTATCTTGTTTAAGTTCATCGTAATGATTATAAAATATTTTCAGAGATGATCCTAGTTTGAGTTTAGCGATATTCGTATTTGACTTTGTGCACAAGCGACATCCGAAGTCGGTCCGACATTTGTATATTCTTGATTCGGAACAAATACGATACATTTCAGTAAACAAAATAAAGAATACTTCTATAAAACGGATTGTATCATTGTCCCCGATTGGAAACAGATTATAAAGATCTAATTATAATCACATTTAAGATGATCACCGCCATTAACGTAGTAAAAGCTTGTCTATACAAAAAATAAATTAATAAAAAAATATACAAACTGGCTGTTTCCAGTCGTAAAATCAATATCAAAATCAACGAACCAAATACGCTGTTGTGACTTTGTGATACGCACAGCTGATCAGTACGCAACGCCATTTTTGCTGTAGTGCAGCGTTACTAGTGGCAAAATGTGGAACTAAAAATGACGAAATAGCGCGCTAATTTGCAATTTTATGGCAAACTTGGTTTTACGAGTCAATATTGAAAAATTTGCAAATAATTAATAACTAGTTTCCTTGAGCGTTATTTTCAAGTAATAACTAATTATTGTTGTAAAAAAATAAACAAAATTTTTATTGATATGAGATTTTGGTTTCGTTTATTTCAAGTAATATATTATAACATAGGTAATACTGCTATATATAATGTAATCTCACGGTCCACAGGGCCTAAGTCGCCGAGGACAATAACCATAATCTTTAATTATGCGTAAACTATGAATGTCCGACTTTCCTTGTAAACTAGTATTTACGGGTGTTTCCGCTCTAATATGCTTCTTAACACTTTTGAGCAATGTACAATTGGTAATATTGCTCACAAGTGGTGGGCTTATTTTAATGTATCGACAATCTCTACATTATACATATGAAATGTTTTTGCCAGGGCATTCTTTGTTTATGATAGGGCCCCTAAATACAAATTGTAATCTAAATCAGAGTTCCATACTACAAAACGCTAATTTCTATTTTTTTTTTACAGAATTATATATACATACATGCGTATAAATCGGTCATTCTCGAACTAGTGTTCAGTACCTAATTTCAGTGGCAATTTTATTATTTCAATATTCAAATATATTATCTATCGTGTAATTATTAAATAATAATTGCAGATACTATACTCGAATATTAAATAATATTGCACGATAAAAAATCGAATACTTAAATAATAAAAATTGGCACTGAAATTAGGTAGTGAATACTAGTCCGAGAATGACTGAAATATTCAAACAAGTAAATATATAGCATTGCAATAACAAATATAATCATTGTACCGCCACCTACCGATAACTCGTTACAACGTGGCTGTGGAACGTATACGCTTATTTCGCCAGTTAAATTAGTGTCAGGATGGCCGAGCGGTCTAAGGCGCCAGACTCAAGGTTCACCTTGCCTATGAAATAGGTTCGAGTTGTTCTGGTCCTCTCTGAGGGCGTGGGTTCGAATCCCACTTCTGACAGACTTTTGTTTTTTTTTTTTTCACTCAGACACAATCTCATATTTTATAATTTTTTTGTTGCATTATACAAATTTTTTTTATAATTAATGTTTTTATTTTTTGTTATACTAATGTACTGCAAAGTATTATACACAAACAGTAATATTATATATTTTAGACATTGTGTTTTTATTACAGTAAAAAATAAAGACACGCAATAATTTACTGCAATTAATACATTGCATATAAAAATTAATTTCCTTTACCTAATCAAAAAGTAAGCAGAATCTTCGGTTTTATAGATTTTTGGAATATTGCCTGTATGTAAAATTATTCAAAAAAATAAGAAAAAAATCCCTCACAAAAGCATTATCGAAACTCCACAGTAATTTCGACTTCTTATGTGTAGTCCTCGGTAGTATAGTGGTTAGTATCCCCGCCTGTCACGCGGGAGACCGGGGTTCGATTCCCCGCCGGGGAGTTTTTTGTACTTGTTTTTTGCATCTATATTAATTTTTTCTTTTCTTTTTTTCAGGTCAGCAGTGTCGGTGTGATGGTACGGGGGCACACGGTGCTGCTGCTGGCGGTAGCACTGTGCATGTGCCGCGCCGCAACCACACTCGACTCAGAACTTGGCGTTGGCAAGGCGATTAACATATTTATGAGGTACTCGCGTGCATTTGTTACAGGGTAGTATAATATATTCTGATGTAGGGATTTCCTGTAGCGTGATATGGAAATTTTAGCAATAATATGTTACATCAAGGTAACATTAAAGGATCAAAGCCCATCTTTTATATTTCAAGATTTAATTAGCTACACATAACGTATAAAACTTAGTCGCTTGATAATTAGAAACTAAAATATATAATGAGAAATAAAAAACTACAAATTAACATTTAATTACGCCACTTTATCGTTGTATCGTTTGTTAAATAGTTTCATTACTAACGTCGGTAACGGTATTAATTATTCAGTTTGCAATTAGTAGATAATGGTTATTTGGAAAGTATTTTCCACTATTGGCACGGATTGCCCGAGGGTGCTGGTAGGAATCCAGCCGGATCGAATGAATTGTTCTAAGTGTTCGACCTTTGTTATTAATAATTATAACAAACTAGTGGAGGAATTACACAAAAAAATGTAATATTTGAATGGATAGTTGGAAATATTTTTTAAATTTATTAAATTCATTAAACATTCAATAAACTTAAAAAATATTTTCAACTAATTCCCAAAGAGCGGAACTAATGGGTAGCAAATTAATTCTTATGAATATTAAAACGTGACTCGCTCAAACAAAATTACCTATATTATTATCACACACACAACATGTATTATTATATTATCAAAATAATAACATTACAATATGTTGTACATACTATAGTGATTATGTAATATGTATGTGATATATAAATTTATTTAAAAAATTTAAATTCAAAACAGAATCACTTTATGATTAAATTTTGCCGCCGTTAGTTGAAAGGGCGCTCGTGACAAAAACTCAAAAATAACGAGAAAATAATGTTTAAAGTGATTTTAAAACCTATTTAGGTACTATATCATATACTTACTTTTCTCTTTTTTCATAAATGTTCACTGTGAACCACTGCATTAGGAGCTGCGTCGACACGGTCCGGAGCAAAGCTTCTTTAAAATTCCGCTAGATGGCGTTGCTAACCTAAGCTGTAAGATAGGAGATTTCCCGTTTTACTCGTGGCATTAAAATATGTAGGTAATTTTTAATAAAAAAATTAACCTCAAGTTTGCTTTGCCGTTTTCGCTGTTTTATTTTCATTGGTTTACATCTGTGCCAAGTGTAATTGAAATCGGTTAACGGAAAGCGGGTGATTCATCCCCGAATTTGCCACCCTTAGAGGTGGAATATTTTCTTCAAACTTGATTGGAAGCACCACTCAAGAACCCCTTTTGCAACAAAAAAGAATCATCGAAAACGGTTCACAAATGTCGAAGTAATCGCGTAACATAAAAAAATACAGACGAATTGAGAATTGAAGTCAGTTAAAAAGAAATACAAATGAAAACAAATTGATAGAAGTCATAAATGTAGACTAATTTAGTGAAGGTCGAAGACAAGACAGTAAGGTCGTCTAAACTTTCAATATAATGATAAATGATTACTTGCGAAACAATCTAATAAAATTTGCAAAGGTCATTCTAATTAGATAGGTATTTATTTGTAGATCTAGGATACATGTACCCAGTCGTATTTAATTTAGATAATAGGTGTATGTATAATGCAAAACTCGAATAATTCCGTTAAAAGACTTTTCGAAAACACTTCTATAATCATTCTCGTCAACCGTCGTACGTCCCACTGTTGGAGATGGGTCTTTTCTGAGAACAATGTTCTGACATAGTATAATAGGACGTATGGTAATTCCATACAACCGCAGTAGCGCGACTTGTATGTGTGCAAGCCCGCCATGCGAAGTGTAACGCACACATTCACAGTATCGCGGTGCACTCGCGTTATTATATAAGCGGTCGCTAGGCAAACAGCAGACGTGTTTATTGTAGTGTTTGTGGTAGTTTAGACAAGAGTGCCTGAAATTCAGAATTGTTCCACATTACATTTCTATATCATTATCATACTCCATAATTAAGACACCAATCCGCGATGCTGGTATAAACATATCAATATGTAAATACTGCATTTGACTATTTCAATATAGCACGATAATACTGTGATGAATGAGACAAATAAAATAATAATGTGACAACCCTACGCTCCGAAAGAAGTGTATTTTAAAGAAAGGAATTTACGCGCCTTATAAGCGGAATTGCTTGCTTTTATTACACAGTGGTGATCTACAAGACTATTTTTTAAATTCCATAAAGTTTCTATAACGTTGTGTATTGGTGTCGATACTCGGAAATACAAACTAAAATTAAATTATTAAGAAGAAGACAGTGTAATGAGTCCGAGTTTATTGCAGTAAAATTGTCACAGCTGCTTACAAATTTACTCATGATACACAAGTGCTTTACATATTTCAACTGCCTCTATGGCCGAACGGTTACCTTGCTGGTCTGCCACGGTCTCAGGTTCGATTTCCGGGCCGAGAGAAATATTTGTATGGCCAGAATTTCTGCCGTCCGCTAAGTAAAACGCAGTTATGTGACAAAATATTTTTTTGAGATATCATAAAAAACCATAACCGTTTTAGAATATTGAAATTGTTTAATGATATTTCAGTTTTGCATCGATAGGGTTATGTTCCGATAAGTCGAATACCTTAACAAATTTTAACTGTTCTTAAAAGAGAATCTTGTGCTCTTTCTTTCTTTATTTAAAACGTATATTTGACCATTTGTCACGTAGCCGCGTTTTTGTTAATGGACGGCAAATTTATTTCTTCCATGCGTTTAGGTGTAGTTTGTGGTTGTTTATGTGTGTGACCATCTCCACCCGCGACAGAGGGTTTCCCTAGTGCGTGTGCATGAGTGTGTGCATTTAAAAAAAAAGTGTAATTACAAAGTAGCATATGAATGACTAAATTTTCAGCTCCAAACTAAAATATCCTCTGTTTTTTCTAAGTGATGCATAATAAGAACAATAGGCACTATTCAATTTTCAGTTTCGCAAAGTGCCACCATTATCGAATTGTATTAGATCAACTCGCATAATAAGATTATTGTTTACTATATCAGTGCAACACGGATAACAGACTTGGCTACATTGTATAAAGCCCTGCACGTCTCACTGAAAGCATATGAAAGGACATTAGGGTACAGTATGTGAATGTTATAATAGTATGAATCTATTTCAATAATTTGGGTTCGAAAAGTTCGACAATTAGTGGCGGACATTATCTAAACCTGTTATCGCTAATCAGCTTGTGACTACTGGTCACATCACTACTTTGCCTTGTCTAAATTCCTACCAATATTTTTCAGATATGGCTACCTCAGCATCTGCATGCGCGTGGTTCCCCGCAACGATACTGAGGGCTGGGTTTTCAGAGAACCCACGGTCAGCGTGTTCAGAGACGTGGAGAGGTACTTTGTTTGTGATTTATTAAAATACTCTGACTTTTAACATCATCGTTCGCTATATCGATAAAATTATCGAAAAAATTAGTTAATAAAATTCTGCAACACGGCTAGTGATTAATTCTGTCTTTTAAGCAGGAAATGCCCAAAAATTATTCATAATAATTTTATTTTTATGAAGTCTTTTAATCGACACAAGTTTTGCGAAATAAGCACTAAATTTTGTTCCTAACATTTTAGCTGTCGTGGTGAAACAGAGATGGCAGCACTTGTTCGCTGTACTTATCCGATATGCCAGTTTTATTGTTTATTGTATCTGAGATCGAATTATGATTACAATGCATACATAAAGGTTGACAACCACAGCTAATATGTTAAAAGATTCCTAATTCTCCATGCTGATGGTTGAACGCAATTTAGACATTATTATGTAGGTAAAACAAAGTTAGAAATGTTTTCCAGCTACATTTATTTAATTGAAATTATTAATAAATATGGATCTTTCTAGTGACATGTGTACTCAGTGACTTAAATAAACAAACGTTACTTGAAATTTAATCTATATGTATAGATAGATAGACATGCGATCTCTATGGTACCTTTGTCGCATCCAGCATACCTTGGATAATTTTGAGACTGGCCGGAAAGACAGACCGACTAAACTGGCAAATTTCAAAATTAGACCGACTTTTCTTGGACACAAATGACGACGAAGTTACTTCTGACCGAACCGCTTATTCGACATCACCAGATGACTTCCTTATACAGTACAGACAGACTGCACAACTATCTCAAGGTCTTGTGCAGTGAAAGTGCCGAGACCCAAGAAACACAGAAGCTAAGTAGCAAGGAATCGCCAGTTTTGATTCACTGTGAGATCAAGATCAAGATCTCTGTGGCTTATGGTGATATAATGTTCGTGGTTATATTGGTTTTTTTCATAAATCGTGTTTTCAAGGTCGCAAGTATTCAAATAGATTTGGTTGTTATGGGTTAATACTGCCCTCGTAACGAAAAAAGGCATAACTATGTGTACTTTATACAGCAGTTGTGCCTTTTTTCGTTCTGAGGGCAGTTATACTATGAGCTGAATAGGTTTATTTAGGTTAGGTTTTTATTTAGGTATATGGACAGTCCTCCACAAAGCTCATATCACCACAGCCATAGAGATCTTCTTACAATGGTCTTTTGTGAACCAGAACCGGCAATTGCTAACTACTTACCTAAGTTACAGTTGGTACACAGTACTTGTATTGTAGAAATTGTCAAAGTACAAAATTATACCAAGGTTGAAGTTATTAGTTATACAAACCAAACGTGTGGATTATAGTAGTAAACTGCAGTTTGACCTTTTTTAAAATTATATAATAACAAACACACGCTAAATTACTGGCACATAACATAGTTGTTATTAACTTTAACTACAAGGCGTAATTCAAAGATTACGTTTATGCAACCGCAGGTTCTCGATTGCTCCCAAGCCTCGCCACGCCAAGACTATCTTTGACGGAGACTTCCACATGGAGTTCTGCGATAACCTGAAGCAGCTTCTGCAGGCCTACTTTAGGGATTTTAGTTTTGAAAGGTAAGTAGCTCTTTTAGATCAATAAATTCAGTATAAGGATGTACATTTTTTCTCTATTTTTTTAAATGCGTACAATAAACATAACTTTTATTTAAATATGTCCGTCCTTGCGTGTATGTTAATAGTAACAAATAACAATAAATAAAAAATACTAACAATACCCTAAATGACGCTTGTGTTGTATTTTTTATTCAGTAGAGTAATTTCCTCTAGGTCTATGCCTAACTTTTATACAAGTCGACTCATCCGAAGAACAGAGTCCGATGTGATTATATAGCGAAAAGAGAATAAGTACGTTACGAGAAAAATTTCGTTATTCAAACTAAGGCCTATGAAAAGGTGTTTTGAGAATTCGTATATCTTATTTCGTTTCGGAAATATAAACTCCAACAACGGTCGACCTGACATCCACAGCGAAGAAGAACGAACAAAATGTACTATGTCCTGAGAACAAGTAGTCTTGCACATAGAACTTTGTTCTACGGTTGAGTCAAAGTTTCCTGTTACACAAAATTAAGACACAGCTGTGACCACTATAAGACCATGTTACAAACATAAAGCATAACCATGAACTTGATAACTGTAGTCAAGCTCATCTGCATAAAAATTACTCTGTATTACATTGTTCTAATAAGACAAGTAGTGTAACTCTATGCAAACGTAGCAGCGCGGCTGTATGTGCGCGCGCGCCGTGTACAGACGCACACGTTCACATAATCTCGCGGTTCTCTCGATTTGCACAGCGCGGGTTGCACGCGTCATTCATAATAGAATTTATGTAAATTTTTTATTTTATTTATAAATGTGTCGTTGTCTGCAAAATTAATATACGCGACATAATGGGCGCGTTCCCATTATGTCGTGACGACAGATAGTCGTGCAGTTTAATAGTGTAGTGGCTTGTATATTTAAATGAAGTTGTTCACATATAGTACAACACGATTAACTCGTTCACGACTTTTTTGACGTTACGACTTCAGACACTCGTGACAATGGGAAGAGCTAGAATGACAGTCGTCAGACGATAATTAAAATGTCACGATAAAAATGTATGTATGATAATCGCAGCTTTAAACGATTTTCTGTCGTGCAACCGACAAGGCGGCTGCCGTGAACCGATAAACTGTCGTCACGGTCTAGTGGGAACAACTAGATACGCCAGCTATTCAACGATAAAATAAACATCCACGACGTAGTCACGATAGATAGTCGTGATATGGGAGGCTAGACGCGACAATCGTCCAACGATAAATGAAACGATACGACATAATGGGGACGCGCCCAAACGCGTATTTCATTTTTATTTCATACTCCTATAATCGAGATACTAATCCACGATGCTGGTATAAAAATATCAATATGTAAGTAGTGCATTTGACAAAGGTTATTTCGATATAGCACGAGAATACTGTGATGAATTTAAAATTATGTTTATAACCTATAGCTACAACTATAATAATAATATGACAACCCTACACTTTGAGCGAGGCGAACAGGTGTTCCCACTTGGACAACTTCTCTTAATGTACTATGACATTTCTGCCCTCAGAACGAAAAAAGGCACAACTGCTGTGTAAAGTACGCATAGGAGTGCCTTTTTTCGTTACGAGGGCAGATTTGTATGTATGTACTTAGTATTAAATAAGTTACTTACTTGAAAATAAGGTAAGCATTTATTGAGCACCACCTCACCTACATACATAAGCGACAATTATAGTCGACGATGCTTGCCTATAATGTTAGGTAATTTTTCGAAATAATTCAAATAAAGGAAACGTTTCCGGAAAAATTTCTAAAAAATTGGAAAAATGTAAAAGTATTGAAAAAATATAATTCGAAGACTCATTATTATGTTCTTCGTTTAGAAATATCTATTGAAGTTTTATTTAGCATGAATTATAAAACATAATTATGTAGCTAAAAGCATGTTAGAGAAAAACGATATTTAAAATGATTTGTCACCAGCGAAAAAACGTTTAAAATGGCTTCATCGTTTTCGTTCATTAACTTCAACTTTTGACAGGTGTCAACGTCCAATGTGGGTGGAAAAATGTAGGAAAAATATACGAAAAAAAAATTTTTTTTCAAAATTTAAATTTTTCCATGACCCAACACTTCTTGCCTAGAAAAAAAAACCTATTAATTGCGCTTTGAAAAGGCCCTATACCGTTTTGAAATCGCTGTTCAGTTGATAAGTCCACAGTAATAATCCCAGTGGTGACTAGCACAAAACTTTAATTTCTAAGTTACGGACTACCTTCGTGAATGTTTTGTAACAATATCTCTCGCTGTGTCCCTTACACATGGTGATGAAAGTTGCATACCAAAGACGGTTCAAAACTCTTAGAAAACTGGCAAAGAACCCAACTAGTATCGGCACAGGGGGTCTACTCTCATTCTCCGAAACAATTCCTTAAATTAAAAGAGAATGTCAAGTATGAAGCTTCATTCGTATCATGCGTCTTTTATTTTGGTCGACTATTATTTATTTGACAGTAATTGTTTCGGACAGATGTCGGATGGAGAACGAGAGTACAGGGCCAGGAGTGAGATCGGCAACTTCCTCGGTAGCCGAACAGTTACCATGTTGGTTTCACACGTAGAGGAGTTACCTATCAGTAGCCCGAAATGACGTTTTCCAGTTTCGACGAAATTTCATAACCTCGAAAGTAATTTTGAAAGGAAAATGTTTTTTCTTTTAAACCTAACGTAACCAAACCTAATCGTGTCTTAGCGATTAACATTCAACATATCCTGAAATACCAACTGAATCGTTATAATTCGGTTTTCGGTGTAATGAAAATTCGAACAAACGTTATTTCGGACAAAACAAATTTCGACTTTGTTACCCGGAGGGGTCCCGGGTTGATTCCCGGTACGGGAGAAATATTTGTATGGCCTATATTTATTTCTCTTGTGAGTTTGAGTCTAATTTGTGGTTGCCTATGTGTGTGTACATGGCACCCGCGATACAGGGTTTCCCTAGTGCGGGGTTATGAGTGTATGAGTAAAAAAAGTGTGACATGTGTATCTGGTTGATGGTGGTATGATATTTTGTAAAATTCCAGGTTAGAGCGTCCCTGGCGCGCGTTCACGGCTGGCTGGCCGACGGATATAATGGCGAGGAACCTCGGCATTAACTCCTCGTTCATCACAGGAGATCACTGCTACGTACTCGTGAGAGTCTCCAGGTAATTAATCATATATGTTCCCAAAATTATATTTGCCTCTTTACAGATCGTTACGTATCAATGATAAAATCTTTGTAATGTGAACATTATTGTGTTCCGGTTTTGAAGGGTGCTAGTGAAATTACAGGCATGTGAGACTTGTCAATTTATGTCTCAGGGTCACGGGCACAGTCGCAGTGCCCATAGAACAATGAATTAAAATCATTGATACTCAACGATTTGTAAAGAGACAACCATAATTTTGTGAAGATATAATAATAATATGTGTTTGTTATACAGTCATGTAATAATATATATTTTAGTTATGCCAATTTTGTATTAATCATCATGCTGGTGTGGGGATTCCACATCAGCAATTGTTTAAGTGTTTATTTATTGTAATTAAAGCTGTGGTTATCCTCAATTAGCTATCTCTGCGTGTACGTACGTGTGTTTTAATGAATTAAATATGGTAATTTTTGCAAACAGCACCTACGTAAAATTTACTTTGCAATATTTTTACTATCACATTGGTTTGTTATAATTTTAGGCATATACGTTAAGCCCACACATAATAACATAACACTAGTTAGTGCTGTTTTTTTTTTGTTACACTTTTATGACAAGTATAAACATTATTTTATATGAGTAAAAACAACTTCAATATGTAATTATCAACACTATTCGTGTAATAACAAACACCAACTTTGTTGTAAGAAGAAACCGTCGTTTTGATGCCGATGCTAGGAAAAGTCTATCAAATATCGATTTGAAACCAAATGCTTAACCTCTATGTGGAGTTTGACGTAACTGCAAGACACAAGACTCAATCGTGTTCTTGCTCAAATATTGCTGGGTCGGTCTTGGTCTTACTACAATTAAGTGACAGTGCGACAAGAGGGCAAGACCAAGACCGCTTTCGGGCAGCACTAGTTTTGTACATTTGGATCATATAGATACGAACAATTACATTGTAACAGCTGATTTCTTTCTCGCGATTACATAATGAGTTATGAGGTGTCCTACAATAAGGTCATAACCCCAAATGTATTTCAAACAAACACGAAAAGCATGAAAATACGACTAAAATGTTTCAGATTTAGAGAAACTGCGAAACTGAACGACCTGCCTCCAAACGTAGCAGTGGAAGACGTTGTCTTCGAAGCTATCCAGGACTCGACAATTGGAGATACAGTATCCATAGCCGACTTCATCAGGAAATACGGGTCTCACTACATCGCTTCGTATATCACTGGTAACTCTTTATACCAGGTGAGGAATTTTCTTTAATTTGATTTATTTATGGTGGTTTTATACGTTTTTGTTTCGTAAGTATCATTTTAGAAAATTGTTTTTTATTATGATACTGAATTCTACAAAGCCTGGCAAGTTAAGGAACGACCGCGAATTTGCCTATGATAATCACCGTCGCGTCGCGTGAACGTCGATCCAAGTTCAAAATGTCTCTATTTCATAAACATGCACTTTACTTTTGAAATCAACAAATTGACTGAACACTACTAGTAAGTGTAATAAGGCCACATCTGCGAAATGCAACTTTTTAGGA